GTTGTTAAGCTCATCCGATGAAACTAAAGACAGAAAAGGTAGAAAACCTGATGAGATATTAGGCTTTGGCAAAACCGCTGGCCCTTTGCCGTGTTCGAGGGAGGCCCATGTGATTATATCGGCTTTTGCAAGACGGATCTCAATTTTTGTTGACAATACTTCATATTTGCACTTGTCTGGTATTATCTGAACATACACCATAAACAAAACATTATATAATGTGTTCAGCTCAGAGTGCTGAAAGGAACACCAACATTAATTCATTCAACAAATAAATTACCTTTCCAAACAATCTCGGTTGGAGATAATACGCCTCCTCTCCAGGAACATCAATCACAACACTCAGCTGCAAATCACAAAAAAATACCAAAGTATCAACACACAATCGCACAGAAGCATCATTGAGTTGGGTTCTTAAGAGCCATATACTCACAATTTGTTCACCAAAGTCGATGTTAACATTCTGTTTGGGTATTCCTTTTGCAAAAACAGTTACCACAACTTCTTCTGGCTTTTGGTAGAACTCGTGTCTGTTGAACACTCAAGAATATGAGATATTTGATGATTCTATAAAACATGGAAATTTTGAAACTAGCATTGTTTTCTACTATAAAACTACCTGTACTTGGCTTTAGCTGGTGCTGCAGGTGCAGGGGTAAGATCAAGTTCAGATACAGGTAGTGCTGTCGAACTTGAAGGCAAAGTCGAAGGCACCGGTTGAACCAAATCTTTCTCTTCTTCTGAAAAAAGATATTAACAAGTTCCATAAATAGAAACCCTTAAGTGAATAACAAAATATTTTGTACCATTTGCAAACAATACAATCAGTCTAGGCATGTAAACATAATCAACCAGAAAACAAGAACAAAACATTAAGAATATACCTGTAATTTGAAAATCGCATTCATCTATCAACTTCTTAAATTTGGATTCACTCGGTGCCATAGAAGCACCTTTTTCAAGAGCTGTTTTAGCAGTACGATACTCCTCAAGCTTCATACAGGCAGTTCTACAAATACAAAAACCAAAATATGAACTCTGGAAGTAATAGCTTGATATACCACAACTGTAGACCATATAAAATAGTAATAAAACAAACTAAGGATTAAGGAATCAGATAAAAATTTAACTCTTACTAAAACTTATATACAGGAATAACAATGTTACATAGGAGGAAATAGCAACACCATACCCTTTTCTTAGGTAAGCTTTAGTCAATGAAGGATCCAACTCAATTGCTTTGTTCGCATCTGCCACAGCCTCTGCTCATTGAGAAACAAATCACTCAATCAAACAACTCAATGAGAATGAAAATGCAGAGGATACTTTCTGAAAGCAAAAAATAGTTGAGCCAAAGACTAATCACTCAATCAAAAACTTAAACTTTCAATACTGTTACTCTCTGTAAAACCAAATTCTCCATATTCATAATCAACGGATCAAAAGACTAGCAGAGTCAAAACCAACTCCATCAATGTTTTTAGATGCATAACTTGTAAAGGACACTCACTGCTGATAACAATAAACTCAATTTCGTTTCTCATGAAAGCAATTCTCATACATTGTTCCTCCACAAACAACAAAACAGAAACATATTTGCACTAAATTGATTCTAAAGCTCTAAACTTTAAGAAGAATTGTGACACAACCAAGCGACATGACACAGAACTAAACCCTAAATTCACATAATCCAGCAAAGTCAACATCTTTCAGCTATAATGACATAAGAAACCAAAAACATAGAAAAACCCAGAACCTTAAAAGGCGTCTACGAAGATAACAGAAGTAAGAAGTTACCAGTGAAGCTTTCGAGTTTGATATAGGCCTGAGCACGATCAGCGAAGAACTCAGCACAATTAGGATCCAAGTCAATGGCTTTGGAATAAAAGTCAACAGCAACATCGAAGTCGTCGTCTACGAAAGCCTCTTTAGCCTTATCAGCAAGTTCCTTAGCCATCTCGATTTGGGTTTCCTTGAAACTGCTTAGAATCGAAGAAGATGATGAATTTCAAACAAGGGGAATGAAGTAGAGGCCAAAGTTGTCTCCTTTTACCACAATGAAGGAAGGAATTATAAAGAGATGGATACTATCGTTCTTCTTCTAGATTGTTCCTTTTATGCTAATTGTGTCGAGGGAGTTGAAGAGTTCGAACCCAAAAAAAAAAAAAAAAAACAATAATTTAATATTTTTCCATTTTTTCCACAAAGTTTCTCTTTATTTTGCCAAAAATAATATTTTTCCTTTTCCTGTAAATTAAATTTTGTGTGTAAAATAAAAAGGTGAGAATGTATAGTTTTCGGAATCCTATGATTTATAAAATATTTTGTTAGAAATTTTTTTACTTAACTTTAAAAAATTCATGTACTTTTATTTTATATAGTTCAAATAATGTTCTGACTTAGATGATGAATAACTGGTTTATATATGGATCACAAATTACTTAGAAAAGGGTGACCGAAACAAAACAAAAAAAAAAAATGGGTTGATTGGTAATGTGTCATGTGATGATGAACCAAAGTGGGAAATTGAGCAACTAAGTTTTTCCTTGCGGTTTCGTGGAACCTTATTGGAAGATTCAAATATGTGTGGATAGGGATGGAGATGTCAATTTATTTAGTGTCAAGTGGATGTGGTTGAAGTCAATTTAAATAGTATCATATCAATTTGTTTACGAGTCAATTAAGGTCCTGTTTCTTCGTCCAAATGATCCATCTAGATGGAGATGAAAAATGATATTTGTTTTTGACAATTTAACAAGCATTTGGATGGATCATCTAGATGATCCATTTGAATGAGTTTTTAAATTTAGGCAAATTTATGAAACTCATTTGGATGAACTTGATTGAACCATTTGGATGGAGATGGTTCATTCAAAAAGAACAAAAGACAGATATACCCTCTTATACAATCATATTTTAAATAATATTATTTTCTATAGATTTCTTATTTAATATTTTTAAAATTACATATTGGAACAAAAAAATACTCTAAAAATCATGAAATCACGGATTATAATTTTACGTCAAAATCGTAAAATCGTGGAATTGCATTTTTCTGCCAAAAACTGTAAAATCATAATTTTTGATGTAAAATTATAGAAAGCGCTATTCCACCAAAACTGTAAAATTACATTTTTTGCCAAACCGCAAAATTATTTTCCCCGTCAAAACCGTAAAATCATGTTTTCCCGCCAAAACCGCAAAATCATGTTTTCCCGCCAAAACTGCAAAAATAATATTTTCCCGCCAAAACCGCAAAATCATATTTTCCCGCCAAAACCGCAAAATCATGTTTTCCCGCCAAAACCGCAAAATCATATTTTCCCGCCAAAACCGCAAAATAATATTTTCCCGCCAAAACTACAAAATCATATTTTCCCGCCAAAATTGCAAAATCGTATTTTTCCGCCAAAACTGCAAAATCATGTTTTTCCACCAAAACCGCAAAATCATGTTTTCCGCCAAATCTGCAAAATTACATTTTCAGCCAAAACCATAAAATCATATTTTTCCGCCAAAACCGTAAAATCATATTTTCCCGCCAAAACTGCAAAGTTATATTTTCCGCCAACGGCAAATCATATTTCTTATCATATTAATTTTTTCGTTAAAAAATCACAAAAACCATATTTTTTCGCCGAAACAGAAAAATTATATCTTTTGCCAAAACCCGCAAAATCATGTTTTTCGGCCAAACTTGTATAATTATTTTGTATATATTTTAATAACTATAAATAAAATTAATTTTTATATGTTAAAATAATAATTTATTTAGTTTTTATATGTGATTATTTGTCAAAATGAAAACATGGGTATTTTAGTCATTTTGTTCTATATGAGATTTAGGATGAATTACAAAATGATCAAACAAAAAAAGATCCATTTGAATGAAATAACAAATATTAAAACAAACATTATTCAAATGCATTATCCAAATGAATCATCTAAATGGATCATTTGAATGCAAATGTAAAATGATGAAACAAACAGGGCTTAACTGACCCACAAATTACAATGACAAGAGTTGTACTAGTTGATAAAATGTCAATGAAATTTGGAAATTTGAAAACTAATGGATGTGGCCGAAAAATTTAGACATGCTAGTAATTTGTTGATTATGAGAATACTACAGTGTGGTTTATATACGGTCACACCACACTATTTTAACAATTGTCGAAGGTTGCATCTGGGAATCACTATCACTAAAAGCCCTCTTCTTCTTTTGAATATTCTTTCTTTCTATCTTACTTATACAAAACTGCCTCTGTAAAATGTTTCTTTAGTTCCATGCAAAGAATATAGAAAGAGAATTCTGTGACAAATATGAAATAGTGTTCTGTGACAAAAGGAAAGAACAAATTTGATATGGGCCGCAATATAACCATAAAGGCCCATCAATGGGCAAAACTTGGGCTACTCAAACAACGAAAGCCTGCTTATAGTAGATAATGTTGTTTCTTTTTTTTTGATAAACGATAATGTTGTTTCTCCCACATCGGAAACTCGAGGATGGGACAGGTCTGTGGAGTAGTATAAAACAAGAAGGTGGTCAACACTGAAAAAGTACTTACCTGGACGGGGTCAACTCGTGATCAAGAAGACGAGTGGCCTAGGCTAGTGACTTCCATTGCACATAACGGAAGGGTGCTTAGCCTAAGGTCTTCCCATGTGGAAGAGCCTGCGTCATTATTTGTGGCAGTGGGGGCTTGCGTTCGCGCAGCCCCTTCCATTCCCTAGAGTTCAACCTTTTGTTCCTTGTTTGGTTTTGGCAAGTTATTCTGTGGCTAACTCTCGAACCAAAGCTTCGTTGATGACATAGGTTGCATCTGATTGGCTCAAGGGATTTGAGTTTCTATGATACTGGATGAGATCCATTCTACAGATGTGGAAAGTTGTCATTCATATAAGATTATAACAGTCTCACTGCTTTTGTCAGAAGTGTAGCATTGAGAGCTATGACTTGTACGTATAAATAAGACGATAGGTCGAGCCCTTAAGAGGTACTTACCTTGACGGGGTCTACGGGCATACAAGAAGATCCGTGGCCTAGGCTAGTGACTTCCATTGCACTTTGGCTCTAGTTCGATTTCTTTAGCTCTCTGTTTATTCTGATTTGACTGTTATAACATCTGAGACCAATAAGCTGTATGGATTGGTTATTCTTTGTCTAATTATCTAGGCAGCTCACTGGTTAGTGTTGGTCCAACACTGTTGGAGATCCAAGACACTGATGAAGGCAAGTCACCTAAATGGCTCATGGAAGATGTTAATGGATCTGGTGCTTCTCAAATATTTCATCCAGTTGCAAACTGACAAGGAAGTGTTAAAACTTAGAATCTGTTGACATGATCTTCTAGGATCGGATCAGTCTAACACAAGTTTGCATTGGAGTGTTAGTGGCGAAAGCTGAAAGTTTCAAGCCCAAGCTACAGATCAAATATTGTTGAAGCGGTGCATTGCATCCTTTGTGGATCAAACCATTCTCTTTGATCGCAGAGGCGTAAACGATATGCCACGAATTTAGGCAGCAAAGACAAGATTCGTAGACTTGTAGCTAAGTTAATTCCTTTTAAGAACATTAAAGTTTGGCCCAAGATTTTATTTACTTGTAGGATTTTGTTGGCGTAGCTATATCATCTTTATATCTTTAACTTATTATGGATGTTTCATCTTAAAAAGTACAAGATCCAAGTTTCTCTGTATATAGAAAGATGAGCTTGAAATTGATTTCTTATCCAAGAGGTGAACCAGTTTTACCAAAAAAAAAAAGAGGTGAACCAAACACTATACTCTCTGTCTCTGGTCAAGGTCCATCATATATCCACGGCAGAGGAGATTTTCAATTATTACTTTGCTAGTATTATTTATCAATTTTCACAATTTGATCAGTAGAATATGGAATTATTCATCAATGAACCACTCCAGACTAGCTAGAACAGCTTTGAAGCTAGACACATTATACTGCCAAGTGCCAAGGATGCATGAATTTGCTTCAAGACTCCAAATAAGTGGTTCCAGTTTCAGAGCTCTGCTCCAGATGAAGAAAAATGATCTTTATTTAAGTCCTTTCATTTTGAATTTCATAATGAGTTAATATGACTTTAAAAATATGACGTTACTTTTTTTTTTGGGTTAAATCATATCATGAAAATGTCAGGTCATAAATGAAAATGAGCTTGGCGGAGTAGTTAACGCATTATTAATAGGGAGATGTAACGTACACGAATTTGCGTTAGGCGGAAAGAAAATAGTGGACATAAAACTTTGTCACATGCTTTGCCATCATGCCCATCACCTTATAACCATCGACTCTGACCAAAATTAATATTTTATATGTTGTATTTATAACCTTCTTTGAGGTTGAAATGTCTATAATGATCTCATTTGGCATAAATTGTGAGATTGTTTTCATATCTTAGAAAGAATATGATAGAGCGGCAAACTCTTTACAAAAATACTCCATATGTCATTTTAACACTTTATTAAACTTATATCATACCAATGTTCAAAACCATCAAAATAACGACAACCACCATCAATCAATTAGAGAAATTCCAGTTGAGAATAACTCTAGCGTATATAATTAAATTAAATTAACTAGTACATCCAATTTGATGAACTGTCCCTAATCGAGTTCTTTATTATTTCGTTAAAAAACAATAACGAGAGATGAATTAAAAACATATACGGTGAACACGCAAGAAATTTGTGCAATAGGTTTACACTTAGCAGGAAAACAGGAACAAACAAACATTTAATTATAATAACTGATAACTAAAATAAGTTTATGACAACTGAAAACAAAATAAAACTAACGGCAAAATCTAACATTGACGTTTTGAGGAATGGGTGCTGAAATGTTTTATACAACCATTTCTACGGCACGACATCTCCATATTACTACCACGTACTAGTCCCAGTCAATCAGTACTCTCACACGTGAAAAATGATAGTTTACGTTTTTACATTTAGATTTATAGATTGCTCTTTTTTTAGATCAAAATTTCATTTTACCATTCATTATCCACGCTTATAAGTGAACCTATTTGCTCACTTCCAATTTTTATGTTTTCGTCCTATGCGGGTTTTCTTATTATATGTTTAGTTAATTAATTCGTACATCATCAAATAATTTGCAATGTCATTTTCCGAGCCGGTAGATAAGTTGTAGAAATACGAGTAGATAAGTAGCAAATATTCAATTGAATTGTTGTTAATAAAGGAAATTAGGAAATGAAGTTTTTTTCTTTGTTTATCTTGGTGAACCTGGATTGTGGGATACATACATTATCCATGAAAAATATGGTATTTTTTATTTGACTATAATTTGTTATTTTGCTTGTATATCCAAAAGTCTAGGTATGGAATAGGCGTATGGAATCGGTTGATCCATTGTTAACCAAACCTTGTACAATCTTTTTCATATTCATATTTTAAAATATATTAAAGTTTCAGATACAAATAATCGTTAAAAAGTATTTTTATAATTTCACAACAATACATTTGCGTAAGTCCTTCCAAATTTGTCTTGATATAACAGAACCTATAAGTATGTGTTTGTTAAGAAGCCGATATATAGGTTTTACATATTGTTTATTAGTTTTAGGAAAAAACAACAAAGAAGAAAACCATTTAAAAAGTTGTGTTCGATGTTTTTTGTTTCGCTGTAAATAAGCCAGAAAAACCTTATTTAAGCAAATATATTCAAACTCCTACATATATTAAACCTTCACAGATAGAAGAGAAAAAATAAAGTATGGTGGTTAGGAAAAATTATACGATGTGAAATGTCAATAACTACAACTTGCTATATCAAAAACCTTATATTGTAATTCCGTAATCATCGAAACTTAATTCTTGTTAGAGAACATAAAAACAGTGCAGCCAAATTACCCTAAAATTACGTGAAACATCTCATGAAATGAACTTACGTACCCAACTTTACTTGCATGCGGTATCTATAAATACCCCCATTAACCACATTTCATGCAAAATCAAAAAACACTCGAAACCATTTAAAAAGAGAAACATTTCTTGAAAAAGTTCTAGCAATAAATAATGGGAAAGCTCTTGGTGTTAATGTTAGTTATGATGTTTTTGGCTTTCGAAAGCTTGGAAGCTCTTGATTATGGAGATGCACTAAACAAGTCAATCTTGTTCTTTGAAGGCCAAAGATCCGGTAAACTCCCGACTAACCAACGGGTTAAATGGCGAGCCGATTCTGCCCTCTCTGATGGTTCACTAGCTAATGTAAACTGGCTATATTCATAAACATCTCTATATGCATATAGGCATATTATGCTATCTCTTAACCAATTTTTGGGTGTTTTTAATATTTCAGGTGAATTTGATTGGAGGATATTACGATGCTGGTGACAATGTAAAATTTGTGTGGCCAATGTCATTTACCACAACCTTGTTGAGTTGGGCTGCAATTGAATACCAAAATGAGATTTCTTCCGTTAACCAGCTCGGTTATCTCCGGTCTACTATCAAATGGGGAACCGATTTTATCCTCCGCGCTCATGCTTCGCCCACCATGCTATATACACAAGTAAACCAACTTTAATTTCATTCTATATATCTTGTATCTTATATAACTATATACCTCTATAATATTCAAGAAATTTACTATCGACATTCAAATACTTATTTTTGGTTTTGTTTTATAATGGATATAAAAAGGTGGGAGATGGGAATTCAGATCATAGTTGTTGGGAGAGACCAGAAGATATGGACACACCAAGAACTCTCTACAGTATCTCTTCCTCTTCCCCCGGTTCCGAAGCCGCCGGTGAAGCAGCAGCCGCTCTTGCCGCAGCCTCACTTGTTTTCAAATCGGTCGATTCTACTTATTCATCCACGCTACTAAGCCATGCTAAATCCGTGAGTATATATTCATATTAAGTCCAAAAAAATCATTATATTAATACAATCATGAGGTAACGTAATTTTATCTATTTTGTTCAGCTATTTGAATTTGCTGATAAGTACAGAGGTTCTTACCAAGCATCTTGCCCCTTCTACTGCTCATACTCAAGCTACCAGGTAATCAAACCGAATCAAACCGGTACACATAGATATTTTCATGTCTACGTAAATTAATTAGTTACCTAACAGTAACAAGACAATTTCTGTTTTAAAATATTTTGGGGAAAATAGGATGAATTATTATGGGCTGCGGCTTGGTTATACAAAGCAACAGGAGAGAAGAGTTACATAAATTATGTTATAAGCAATAAAGATTGGAGCCAAGCCGTTAATGAATTCAGCTGGGACAACAAATTCGCCGGTGCTCAGGCTTTGCTCGCATCGGTTAGTACATCAATAACCGACATCGCTAAATTCTATAACATTAAGTTGATCTAGATTAATTTTTTCTTGTTATTTTCTTATTTTAAGGAGTTTTACAATGGGACAAATGACTTGGCAAAATTTAAGACCGATGTTGAATCATTCGTCTGTGCATTGATGCCAGGAAGTAGCTCTCAACAAATTAAGCCAACTCCCGGTAATTTTCACCGGTTAATGGTTTTGGGTTTTTTTTTTTTTTTTTTCTTTGGTGTTGGTTTTATGGTTACATTTATTTGTACTTTTTGCTTATTCAGGTGGCCTTTTGTTTATTAGAGACAGTAGCAACTTACAATATGTAACAACGGCTACAACTGTTTTGTTCCATTACTCAAAAACTCTTACTAAAGCCCGGGTTGGTTCAATCCAGTGCGGTTCAACCCAGTTCACCGTATCTCAAATTCGAAATTTCGCCAAATCACAGGTAAATAAGGTACCAACTAGTCCGGTTTTGTACCCCGTTTACGTTTTGTTAACCAACCGATTCAATATTTCAGGTGGATTACATCCTTGGAAATAATCCAATGAAAATGTCTTACATGGTTGGATTTGGGACAAAGTACCCAACACAGCCTCATCATAGAGGCTCATCATTACCGTCGATCCACTCTAAACCGGAGAAAATAGACTGCAATGGAGGATATTCATACTACAATTCTGATACACCAAATCCGAATGTGCATACCGGTGCAATTGTGGGCGGACCGAATTCATCCGACCAGTATAGCGACAAAAAATCAGATTACTCTCATGCAGAGCCAACTACTTACATCAACGCCGCTTTTATTGGGCCCGTTGCTGCTCTGATCAG